AAACATCTTAGGCATAATAAGGAACAGGTATTTTTCATCAAGTATTGATATGTTGAACTTTAAGTTCCTACATAATATGATAAAAGGAAAATTTTTTTTTAATGGTGATTTTTTTTTTTCTTTCTTTTTTTAGAGACATAGTCTTGCTTTGTAGTTGAGACTGTCTTTTTTATAGATCAGGTTGGCCTTGAACTCACAGAGCTCTTCCTGCCTTCTAGCTTCCCTATGGTTGGGATTATGCCTAGCATTTTCCAAACTCTTTACCATGGTTTTCTAGTGTTTGCACACTTTATCCATACTTTAGTCTCTCTTTTTCTTGTCCTCAAATACACAAAGCTTTAAGGTTTTGCATGGGCTATTGCCTCTATTAGAAATGAATGCTTTCCCCCTAAATCTAATGCTAGGTCAGCTCCTTATCATTCCATACTCGGGTCAAATGATTTTCTTTATTTTTTTTCCCAGCACTGGAGATTGAACTCAGGACCCTGCGCTTGCCAGGCAAGTGCTTATTCTACTAAGCTATCTCCCTGGCCCTTCAAATGACATTAAAAGTCCTTGTCAACACCATCTAGTGAAGTTGCTCCCTACCATCTAGTGGAATTGTTGCAGTGTGACTCCATCCTGTTAAAAGACAAGATGAATTTTTTTAAACTAATTATGTATCTGATTATTTGAAATTATGTATCTGATTATTTGGTTGTTGGGTTTTTTTCCTCATTTGAATATATGCTGCATAGAACAGGACAGATGCCTGTTTGCAGCTGTATCTCCACTGTTCATCATGTCATCCTTTGTAGATGTTCTATGATTATTGACTGAATAGAATAGCTCTCTTGCTGTATATATAATTTTAATGTTTTATGAGATTTCATAGTATCTGAGCCTATGCTATTTAATATATACTTGCTAAAACTACTATTATTAATGTCTTCTTTTTTCTGAAATCTAGATGCAAAACCCAAAAGCTCTGATGGAGAGTTTGTAACACAGACCCGTCCACGGAGTAACACTCTTCCAAAAAGTTTTGGCTCTTCTCTAGACCATGAAGGTGAAGCAAGTGAGGAGGAATCTAGAGGCATTCAGAAGGAGAAAAAACCATCTAAGGAAGCAACCCTTGAATTTATTCTAAAAAAACTGAAGGAAAAACGTATTGAAAGATGTCTTCCAGAAGATATTAAGGTAATGTTTGACTAGATATTTGTCTGGGCGAGCCTTTAAAAATCCCTGAAATGGAATAGTGACTATGACAGGATAGAGATGTCTAGGTAATGTGACTGGCCTGTCCTCCAAGTTTGCAGATGCAGAAATGTGCTTTTCTCAGCACACTGGAAATAGATGCCAAATCTTTCAGACATTGATTCATAATGAAACAAAAAAGCTAGGGTTGTAGCTGGTTGTTTTATGTAAGAAACAGTTGGTAAGATGAGCATGCAGAGAGCTGGAAACAGAGCTGAGTTTGATTCTGGTAATTGTGTGTACTGAGTGCTTAACTTGTGCCCAACATAGACAAGTTACATTATATACATTCTGCCATTCAGTCCTTCAACAACCCTCTGATGTGCATAGATATGATTGTGTCTATTAAAAAATAATAATGATTTTTTTTTTCAACAATTAAGTTTTGGGGCTTTTGGGGGCTTTTTTTTTTTTCCTTCCCTTTTTGAGACAGGGTCTTGCTATGCAATTCAGATTGGCCTTGAGCTCACTTTGTAGCCCAGGCTAGTCTGGAACTCAACGATCTTGCTGCAGCCTCCTGAGTGCTGGGATTGTAGGTGTGACCCACCATGCCTGGTTTATTTTCTTCATGGTACTGAGAATTAAAGACAGGGCTTGGTCTCTTATGCACACTAGATAAGTGGCATACCACTATAAGTTATATCCCCAGCACAGTGAATTACATTATTTATTACTCAGTAAAGCCTGTGTCTAAGCAGTGTCAGTCAAAGCACTTGGCAGCACAAATCATGTATCAGATGAGATTTACTGGGGGAGTGTGAAGGTACACAGTTTCAGGTGAACTTTTTTGTCCAAGTAGTGATGCATTAACACATATATAAAGTGATACTTGTTATAGGAAAATATTGTCCAGTGAATTTTTTTTTTTTCACTCTACTTTCATTGTAATGAGAAACATGGTAGTATTAGCCAATCCTAGGGAAAAGTAGGGTTTTGATATAGCTGAAAGGTATTCTATGCAACATTGGTTCATTGAGATGGTAATGGTTGATTCTATAAGATAAAGGAAAAGGGTCTGTGAACAAATAAATTTGGAAGGTTCTGCCTGACAGAGATGATGTGTATATTGCTGTATAAAGAATGTGTCAGGGGGCCAGGGAGATAGCTCAGTAGAATAAGCGCTTGCCTGGCAAGTGCAAGGGCCTGAGTTCAATCCCCTGTTCTGCAAAAAAAAAAAAAAAAAAAAAAATGGTTATTTGTAATTTGGGCTGGGGAGATAGCTCCATAGAATAAGTGCTTGCCTGGCAAGTGCAAAGGCCTGAGTTCAATCCCCAGTTCTGCAAAAAGAAACAAACAAACAAACAAACAAAAAAAAGAATGTATCAGTGCAGATGAAAGGAAACAAGTCAGAGAAGTCTAAAGTCACAAATTGACATTACTAAGCTTTCATTATGGAGCTTTTTCTTGGATCTTTCCATTATACTACTGCAAGATTCTCTTTTTAGCTTAGGAGGCATATTGGGTTATAAAACCTGTGCATATCTGTGGTGTATGCGTGTATAGACTATGATGGTAGGCCCTGTCGCCCTGTTATATGTGTGTGTGTGTGTGTGTGTGTATGTGTGTATAAAAACTGGTCTTCATGCAAGCCACTTAAGGTGGAATGAAGTGTTTCCTTGGGACATTGAACATGAAGAAGTTAAGTAACTTACCCAACCCAGTATTCCTAACTTACTCAAAATACAAATCAAGACATCAAAGGGAGTTGGCACCTACATAATAGAAGACATACTAGAAGACTAAAAAATAGTACTTGCAAATCTGTAAGTAAAGAATGCATCATGAGCCTTCAATAGGCTGGTGGTAGTGATCTGTAATTAAAGAAAGAAGAAAAATTATGTAATTTTCTCCCCAAATTCTAGAAAATGACAAAAGATCATTTGGTTGAAGAGAAAACTACTCTCCAGAAAAGTCTTCTTTACTATGAAAGTCAACATGGAAGGCCGGTAATGTTTCTTTTGCTAAAAAGATTTGATTTTCTATCTTAAAAAATAAAAAGAGCATCAATCACTTTTATGGCTTACATTTTTAGAGCTATTTTATACATTGTTTCCTATTACCTACTTATTGTATGTATATAAGCTTTTAAGTTGTGTTGTATCATGTTAGATTCCTGATGACTAGGTGACTTCCCTTTTTCTTTGGCTTCAGGTGACAAGAGAAGAAAGGCACATTGTTAAACCTCTCTATGATAGATACAGGCTTGTAAAACAGATGCTGACAAGAGCTAGCATCACTCCTATCCTTGTAAGTAAAATGAGCAATGTTTCTCTAGTTCATTTTTATCAAGATGTAAGATGTAGTTGGTCCCACCAAAAAAAACCCCCATATTTTGGTGGCCTGTGGGAGAAATACTTGTAGAAAGAATGGTAATGGCAAGTTGAGGCTGATTTTAAAAGAGTGGAGTGGGGGCACACACCTATAATCCCAGTGCTTTTCTGTAAACTGGCATTCAACAGGCTGAGTCTGAGGCCAGCCTGGGCTACAGGGTGAGTTCAAGGCCAGCCTGAACTGCATAGTGAAAGAAACCCTATCCTCCCACAAAAATAGAATAAGGGGATGAAATTGTGGTTTAGGGGATAATTGTGCCCAGGTTACCTACTTTGTGACAGAAGTAAAATAAAAACTTGATATTTCACTTTTTTTGCCTACTTTGTTTCTATTTTAGTTCATATATATGAAAATACCTCAGTTTTGTGATGGCCATCATGCTGATGATCATCCAGTGACATTATAGCATGAATAGATGTCTCAGAACACGTTTTTAAATAGGACAAAGTCTATAAAAATAATGCTTATTAGTTTTTATTTCATTTATTTTCTTGAGATGGGGTTTCGGTATGTTTCCTGGGCTGCTCTTAAACTTGTGTGCTCCCACTTCAGCCTCTTGAGCAGGTGGGACTATAGGCATGCACTACCATACCAGCCTAGATGTAGGTTGTTTTGTTATTTATTTATTTTGGTGGAACCTGGGATTGAACTCAGGCCCTTGCGCTTGCTAGGCAAGCACTTACTCTACTGAGCTATCTCCCCGTTCTCTGTAGGTTATTTTAAAGAAAAAAAGAAAACCTATAATACTTACATGCAAATCAAGTGCTGTTTCCTAATTAACCATTAATATTTAAGCAGATTTTCCTCGGGCACAATTCTGTATTATTTCCTAAGAGTTAATTCACTAGTGCTTATATTTATTTCAGCTTTAAGACTGTGCACTTTGAGGAGAGTTGCTCTTAGCCTGATAGTCAATGCTAGGCTCACATTCACCTTCTGAGCACTTTTTAAATTAGCTGTCATGTTAACTCATTTTTTTAATTGACCAAGTGTTTTTGTTTTGCTAGGTGTTTTGTTTTGTTTTAAAGATCTCACTGTGTAGTTTAGACTGAGCTTGAACTCTCTATGTAGTCCAGGCTGGCCTCCAACTTCTCGTGATTCTCCTGCTTAGCCTCTTCCTAAGTGCTAGAATTATAGGTGTGTGCCACCACACCAGCCCTCTGGGCTGCCTTGAACTCCTATTATGCCTTTTCACAATTTTATTTAGATACAGTTTTCTTCTGATTGGGAGTGCTGTGTAGGGGCTGGGGAGATGGCTCAGTGGAATAAGCGCTTCCCTGGCAAGTGCAAGGGCCTGAGTTCAATCCCTGGCTCTGCAAAAAAAAAAAGGAGTCCAATGTAGTATTTATTTTCACATAAAAAAGATCATTTAAGGACCGGCCAGATAGCTCAGTGAACTAAAGTGCCTGCTTAAGCAGATGCAGGGACCAGGGGTTCAATCCCTGGCCTGCCTTGCCAGCCCCACTGTCAGGGTGTCGCATGCCTGTAAACCCCGCTCTTGGGAGGCTGAACACAGGTGGATCACTAGAGTCTGATCTACGTAGTGAGATCTTGCAGATCCTGTACTAAATTTAAAAAGATTTTTATCCTCTGATAGCAAGGTATTTTAAGTATCTCTGACATTCATTGCATTTCCTAATTTCATAATAGCATAAATTTACTCCTTGAAGTTCTTTTATTTTTTTTTAAGAGTAGGAAAATGTATTGGAGAAAGAGAACGGGGAATTGGAATAGCTCCTGAGAGTCAGGAGGGGTCCTGAATGGGTAACCTTCCTTGAAGTTCTTCATGGAAAACCATGTCTGTCTGCCTCCTTTCCCTTCCCCTTTTTTGTCTTTCTGAGACAGGGTTTTGCCATGCAGTTCAAGTTGCCTTGAACTCACTTGTAGCCCTGGCTGGCCTTGAACTTGTGGCAATCCTTCTATCTCAGCCTCCTACGGGCTGGGATTGTAGATATGTGCCATCATGTCCAGCTAGAACAGTTTTTTCAACATGTGTTGTCTGGACCTCTGGCTATCCACATGCAAAAGAATGGTGCAGGGAGCTTACCTCATACTACAGATGAAAGCTGATTTAGAAGGGATGACGAATTGAAATGTAAGCTAAAACTGAAACTCTTAGAAAACAGGAATGAATCTATTGTGTTGGGTTAGGCAATATTATAAGGATGTGACATCAGAAAAACAAGAAAAAGTAAACTTGACTTCATGAAAGTTAAATAGATGCATAACAAAAACAGGTGAAAACACACAGAATGCAAGAAAATATTTGCAAATGACTTACCTGTTTAAGGTCTTGAATACGTTAAAAAGTTATTACAACTCGGAGATATAGATGAACAGACATTTAAAAGCGAGAACAGAGATTTATAAACAGTCTATGTGCACATGAGAAGATGTTCAGCATCAGCAGTCACTAGGGAAATGCAAAGAACACCTTGAGAAAAATACCATTTCATATCCACCTGTGTGACTGTACTGAAAAAGGTAATGAAGGTGAGGATTGGATTGATTGGGATCCTCATACATTGTTGATGAGACTGTAAAGTGGTGTAGCTGTTGGTTGGTGGTTCCTCAGAAAGTTAAATTTAGAGTTGCTGTGTACTCCAGCAGCTGTTGCCCTAGGTAAATGCCAAAGAGAAGTGTAAACATTTGTCCTTGCAAATCTTGCACACAAGTATTCACAGCAGTATTATTCATAATAGCCAGGAAGTGGAAACAACCGTCTGTCAGCTGATGAGTGGATAAAATATGATAAGTGAGTAATGAAGTATGAATATGCATATGCTAAGGTATGAACATGCCTAGAAAAATTACGCTGAGTTAAAGAAGCTAGACACAGAAGACCTCCTAGTGTATATTTATATGAAATACTAAGAATAGGTCAATTCATAAAGACAAAGTAGATTAGTGTTTACTGAGGGATGGTGGAGAAAGCAAAGGAGTGACAGTGAAAAAACATGTGTTTATTTATTTACAAGTGTTTTATTTTGTCCCCACCCCACCCCCAGTTCTGGAGATTGAATCCACAACTTTCACACTGAGCTACATCCACAGCCCCTTTTTAAATTTTTTTTTTTGGATGGGCTTTTGCCCTTAGCCTCCCAGAGTGCTGGGATTATAGATGTGCACTACTACGCCTAGGGACAGTTTCTTTTGGGCTAATGATATGCTCTTGAATTAGATAGTGGTGACAGAATTGTACATTTAAAAAAGACTTTTGGCTCAGTAGAGTAAGCGCTTCCCTGGCAAGTGCAAGGGTCTGAGTTCAAACCCTGGTTCCGCAAAAAAAAAAAAAAAGTTTTATTTATTTGGAACAAGTTGCTATACAGCTCAGTCTCACAGTGATTTTCTCTCTCTCTCTCTCTCTCTCTCTCTCTCTCTCTCTCTCTCT